AAGTATGGTGGAACATGTGGCGCAGTAGAACACTGAAGTACACAAGACCGAACCTAATCGAGTTCAAGGACTCTAAGGAGATCATAATCTCCAATGTTATCTTCCAAAATTCACCTTTCTGGAACATTCATCCTGTGTATTGCAGGTATATAAAACTAGTTAACACCCTCTAGATCTCCCAAGCATAGATATATATACCTTCCTCTTCGTATGGTATTGACTTTGTTAGTTGTTTTGATCCGTGGCAGCAACGTTGTAATCCATCACGTTACCATCTTAGCTCCACAAGATTCTCCCAACACTGATGGAATCGATCCAGGTTCGTCGTACTCTTAACTCTTTTTCCAATCCACAATAGACTACTACATTGGTTGCTGTGATCAAACATGCTAGATAGGAACTTGAAACATGTTTTGTGTGCATAATAGCTATTTGGTGCTGGAGAATGTAACTCATCGCCACATCAATAAATAATCAAAGCCGTTTATTATCACCTGAGCAAAATTAATTTGTTGATAGATTCCAGCTACAACGTCTGCATAGAAGACTCCTACATTTCAACAGGAGACGACCTTGTGGCCATCAAAAGCGGTTGGGACGAGTATGGAATCGCCTATGGCCGTCCAAGCTCAAACATAACTATCCGCCGCATCACAGGATCTTCCCCGTTCGCAGGTATCGCAATAGGAAGCGAAACATCAGGAGGAATCAAGAACATTGTAGCAGAACACATCACTCTCTCCAATATGGGAGTTGGAGTTAACATTAAGACAAACATTGGTCGTGGAGGATACATTAAAAACATCAAAATCTCAGACGTCTATATAGATACCGCAAAGTACGGGATCAAGATCGCCGGTGACACAGGAGATCACCCAGACGAGAATTATAACCCGAACGCTCTTCCAATCGTAAAGGGAATACATATCAAGAACGTTTGGGGAGTGAACGTTCGAAATGCTGGCTCTATTCAAGGCCTTAAGGGTTCACCTTTTACGGGTATATGTTTGAGTGAGATAAATCTACATGGAAGCTTGAATTCGTATAAGACGTGGAAGTGTTCGGATGTCATTGGAACTTCACTGAAGGTCAGTCCTTGGCCGTGTTCGGAGCTGAGAACTACCGGCGGATCTTATTCGTGTTCTTCCACATTCTGAAAACTTCTGAGCAAGTTTTTACCTCTTTGGTTCAATTTTTTAAAAATAATTTATCTCCAGTTTGCAGTTCCTCTATTAATATTTTATATGTTTAAAAGAAAAGAGGTTAAACTATATAATGAATTGTAATTTGAAAATGAAGAAAGTTAGAAAATTAAGTGTCTGGAGCAATGTAATTCCAATGTATTCTGTTAAGATTGGATTTATATATGTTAAGATTAATATTCTGGGGTTTATTTACGGCTGATGCAATGAATATCTCTTTCTCAAAAGTGTCTGGATTGGGTGTGATCAAATTTTTATTTTTACATTCATGTTTTTTACTTCTCCCTAACTTGGGTTTTCATTCCATAAAAGAACGAAGGTGAGAGGGACTCTCTCTTCTTTGGGCCAACCAAGGTTAGATATGGGCCTGTTAATCCCAACGTTAAATTAATAGATTTATTTACCATTTTACCTCCATTGCTTTGGTAAGTAAGAAACTAAAGTTTGGCTATTTATTGCATATATCTATTTATGTATCTCAATAATTTGAATTTGTGAGGAAAAAGTTAAAGTTGAAGGATACTTTGTTTATTTTTAAGTGTGAAAGTGTCGAATAAGTGTTGACTATATCAAACGAATTGAAAGCAATGTTTTTCCGTACATAAGTGTGTTCTTTTTATTGTTTGGCCTTTTCCTACTTTATTAATTTATTGCTCTTTTGAGCGAGTCCAATTGGCTACTGATTTTTTGAGTTATTATAAAAATACTGTGTAGCGTTGACACACACATTTTCACACAACACAATACTGTTGCGTAATTAGAAATAAATGCGATACTTAATGCCGTAAAGTTTACAAATCATACAAAAAAATATTCTTCGTTTTGTAATGAATGAAGCAATGCAGAAATAAGATGTGAAATTATGTCATCATCTTGTGAGCTGAAGTTCTTTCAAAAAAAAATTCAAAGATTTCAAGAGTTATGTTTTGAATTCAAATATGTCAAATTACATATTTCAGCTGATTATGAGATGAAGTAAATACAAAATTACGGTGCTAACTGCCAAAAGATTAATTAGATTCATTTGATAAGGATGAATGAAGAATGCGATCCAAATAATAAAAAAAATTGAATGAATGACGCAAAAGAGAGTGACGCCATTAAAAGAAAAAAAATCATTGGAAGTGTTAAAAGGGGAAAGAATGAAAAAGGGGAAATCCACGCGGAGAGAGGTTTGAATTGTCTTCGGTCCAATCCTGTCCTTTTGATTTTTCTTTGTTATCTTGTTTTTTTTTTGTTAGATTTTTTCTTTGTGCCCTTTTTTATCAATCAACAAATATGTTTATGGCAATTACGTTTTCTCTACGTCCAAGTAAATCACAGTAAATAAGTGAATGTTATCAAGTTGACAAAAGATTTTTTTTTAAATAGGTATTGCATCAACAACACTATAGCGCAGATCAAATCTATCGAATACTTTTAACAGGTAACCCCATCCATACCTAAAACAAATAAAAGAAAAGTAATAGTAATAATTTCATGAGAAATTGTTAAAAATGTCCCTTTTTCAATACCCTTTTCAAAAATGCCCCCTTTGAGAGTCCATTTTTAAGTTTGCCCTCTTTTAATTTTTAATGACCATTTTACCCTTATTGAAACAAAATTATGTCCACAAAATACAAA